AGCAATAATTTTTAGTAATTCTTAATTATTGTATTTAAAAATATAAGCAATATTAAATACGAAATTACCATATAAAAGAATAGTCATAGTTCTAGCTTATGGTAAAGTAATTAAATTGCTTAAAGAATTCATATAATGAGTCAGAATTTAGCAAATATTTGCTGACCACGTCGTTGTAATGATAAGATCCGCCCACCTATAGGTATTTAAGATACTTAGTTACATATAAGTAAGCAGGTGGCTATACTGATCCAATTAGGCATTATTCCAGCATTATCGTAATACTACTAATTATATCTTTTTCGTTATTTTAATACACAAACTCCTATCAGTATTAAAGGAAATCATGGAATGAAGAATTTTTGCAGCCGTCTGTTATTTTGTATAGGGATAAAATTTGTTACATCAGCTGTCTTCATTAAAGTAGCTCCTATGTTGAAGAAGAGTATAATTATAAATATTGTCATTCAAATTTGAATCTTAATATATAATGTTGATAAAAACTAAATCTTTTCTTTTATATAATTCTATTTGAACATCACCTAGTATCGAATTCAAGACACAAATCGTTCGATTCAGTGGTGTTATTCCACGGGCGTTAAATCTACTAATACATTTCGAGCTCACTGTCTACATCGGGCAAAAATCAGAGTAAGGAGCGTCCTGAATAGCAAACAGTCGGGAAATAACGCCTTCTTGTATTGGATTCGTTTTTTTTAACACAAACCATCTGATGGAAAGTTACTCTCAATATGAAAAACTATTGAAGTCCGATAGAATAGAATTTTGAATGAAAAAGCCGTAGTAATATTTGAAAAGTAATTTTTATCGTTCAATACTCGGGCGCCCGTAGACCGGGTTTGAACAAATACGTTCCTTATTGGCGAAGCGTAATTATACTTATTGTTATCAATATGAATCTTACAGTTTTTAATATACATTTTATTATTAGGTATACAAATTTTTCAATAATAATAAATATTCATTTTAAATTAATAAAATTCTTACATTCAATGACAGCTCATGAGTAAAAAATGTAAATAAGGAAACGTGTTAAACTGTGATAAAATCAAATAGTTCGTGAGCTACGGATGTGATTATAGAATGAGACATTACTAGAACCGTCAATAGATATTAAAAATATATTCATGATGCATAATATACATAACAATTTAAAACAGCCGGCTTGCCCTATAACAGGAATCTCTGCCCGGTCACGCGATGTAGACACACGAAAGTGTTGTCTTTAAGAAGATTTGCTAGATAGTATTCCGCTTGCTTAATTGGCTGCAATACTGATAATATAACCAATACATACGTATAGTGTTCATTTGTTTTTGTTTACTTCGGTTCAATAAAGGTGGTTGTTAGTCTGATTTGTATCAGTGATTGTGTAATGAAGGAAATTCTTATTAAATAATTTTCTCGTATCATGTTTTATAATGTGTTTGAACTGTTTTATGTTAGTTTTTTACTAGTAGCTGGAAATATATAATTATCAAATAAATGATTTTTAATCGAAGTTTTTATTTAAATAGTTTATCTTTCGTAATGTTAAAAATCATATTTTGCGTGAAATTTATTTAAATATTGTATAAAAATATGATATGAAACTAAATATATTGTACCTAAAAATTTTATTTACACATAATAAATAAGAAATTTTCTTGTTGGTACATTTGTTTGTGAACTTTAATTTCCACTCCGTTAGCGTTGAGTAATTTGGCATGGCTCAATAGAAACGAAATTAATGCCCAAACTTGAACTTAGTTTTAAAACTTTACTTTTCTCAAATTGAATATGAAAATGTAAAATAAAATAACGCTTGCTTCATATATATACAAATAAACATTGTAATAAATTCAGCCTTTTTATGTATGTCAATATTATTAATTAACATAAATCTTACAAAAAAAATAACATTAATGTTCTGATTGGGAAAACTTCCTTTTAATGTAAATTTTATTGAGGATGCCAAACAAGGTCGAATGACTCAATGGGAATATTTTCATTTGATGAAATATCAGACATAATATATTACGCGTTAAATATTTTCGTTTTATTGATTTCGAAATATAATACTCGTGAAGTTTTATTCAATCAAGTTTAAAGAAATATATTTTTTTATCATTATTGTCTTTGGAATAATAGTATTATTCTAAAATTGGTATTGCTATTTTTTTTATTTATAATGGTTATGAATTACGTTTATGAATAAATTTATGGATTTTCGTTGATGTTGTTTTACATTACTTATTTAATATAAAAACAAAATTACTTGTAATTTCATTGAACAAAAATATTGGACATTTTTAATAGACAATGTTAATATATGTATGTGTATGGGAAATGCCCTACGAGTTGACTCATAAACTCGGTTTAACTCCTCGCCAACGAACCATTCCACGTGGTACTAACCTTAATTGATATAATGACATTATAGCGGTAATTATATGTTTTATGACGCTTTAGATAACTGTCACTTGTAGCGATTTGATGATATCTTTTATGATCGTGATTTTCTGGTTTTATGTGACGTTTTTTTTTTAATGAGTTACCGATTTATGGATTAGACTGCCAGTATTTTCTTGTGTTAACGGTATAAATTTGTTTAATTGATTTTTAAATTTGGAATACTAATTTAGTCTTTGGATTAATTTTTATTAAATTTTACCATCTATTCTATGATTTTAAATACATATTTTAAAAGGAAATATAAAATATAAAAATATTAAAACCCGCTTAAGACAGATTTTTTTCTATCTTACGAAAAATATTTCGCATCCAGTAGTTTTTAATAGTGTTCCAACAGCAATTTCATGGCAGTGTTTTTCATATTTTCCACGGACGTGCAATATCACTTTCATGTTTTTGCATCAGTGCCATACGCGTAAATTCTGAATTCCTGATTCTGGCGTACAACAGTATTTTAATTACTCGTTTTGAGAATGATTTATTCCACACTCTGACACAAATGGCACTATTGCTGCACATTTTACTGTTTATAAATATTTTGTTGAAATACGTCGTATTACGGCTGTGGCTATAAAAGCTGTATAGTGTGAATTTTATAATTGATATCTACATTTATTAGCTGTTTTGACCGACGTAATTAAATTTGGTTTTAGAGGTCAGTGTTCAATCACCTGTTACATACGAGAATTTATCTGTTTTCGATTTGTAACTAGTTTTAAACATACCTCACACTATATGGGTCTCGTTAAAATTTTACGGCAGCGTATTCAAACACTTACGGTTTCAAATAGAATAAGTTTTATGACTTCTTTTATAGTAAATAAATTACTTAAGACCGAAATAAGATGTCATTGAACGTAATATGGTAAGTTAATTATTTTAAATTTATCTCTAGACCTGTTTGTCTTTGAGATAATATTTTTACGAGAGAAAATCTGGCTTAGAATCAAATTCAATAGGCTTTAAATTGAAGGAGGTGGTTGTGCATGTTAAATTACAATAAGACTCGCTTTCACTCGCCACCCCGATGACAATACAAGTATAAATACAATAAAGTTGACTTCAAAACATTTGTTAGGAAAAAAATAGTTGCGCAAGCTCATTCACGTTAAACTCATATTGTTACCTTTTGGGGATATCTTACTGAGTTGGACCGTTACCACATAAAAACTAGGCTAGTTTCATTTCCTTTTGTAATTTACTGAACAAAGGCGAATATGATTTATTGGCTATTTGTTCTTTATGCAAAATGTACGTTCCGTTTCTTGGTTTTTTAGTACGAAAAAAATATAATGCTTATTATCTATAGTTGTGTTATATTGAACTTAATGTATAAAAAAATTTGGATACATTCTTAAAATATTTTAGAGCGAAAATCACCCGCTGAGGTAATGATAATGATGTTTTGTTTTTATAAATATTTAGTTTTTTAAAAATTAGCTATTTGTCTGCTGTTTTCAAAGAAATTGTTGAATGTAATTTTGCAATTAAATGCGGTATAATTTAGTTATAACAGACTTTTCAAAAAATTCCATGTAACTCATTTTAATATAAACACTAGTTAATTGAGTATAATATTGATGGATTCTTTATCAGCTTCATACAATATCTAATAGTTTTTCATAATACGAGTAGTTCAATATTGTAGTAAATATTTTCTGTTTCGAGCCAACCAGTGTAAGCAAACACATCATTGCTTATATTTACAATTGAGAGGCATTCGATAAACGATCGGCATTTGTTCCTTCTAAATTTACATTGTTATGTACGAGACAAACAATTTGCGGATTGCCAGCACCGGTCTCTTCGCTCCACACTTGAACAGTGATTCAAATTATTTGATTCCCGAACTGGTTTCATTTTAATTCTTGACGGCAATCATCTCTCCACACCGTCGCTTTCACTACAACCTATTTATTACGATTGGTCTTTGTTACTTCTAAAAACATTGGCGTTCGTGTGTCTATATATATGATTTATTTATTCTGCTCTTAACGTTCTTTGCGGTGAGTTATTTTAAACTCTTTAGTATGCTCCGTAGAGTTAAATTCACATTAAGATATGAATAATGTTTTGTTAACGTCGAACTAATACGATTTTACTAACTAACCGTTTCATTTGAGAATGTTTTTGATCCTCATAATACATTAGTCTCTTTATATTAACTTACCTAAAATGATTCCAGTAATCTAAACTGTTTGAAGAGTTGCTAGCTATATTGTATCGGCGACTTAAACTACAATCACAATGAATTCATACAAAACTGACCCTGTATTTATTAGAAGGTAATCTATAGACGCTACAGCGCTGCTATATTACAATATTTTTGTACTTTAAAAAATACTAATCTCATCTCTCTACCGAGGATATACTTTTTTTTGTACTAGAAAATTAAAAAAAAACTTGTAGAACTATCACCGGTGCGGGGTCACCGTCTATATAGTGGTCCAGGTAGGAGGATGATTTGTCGAACTTATTCAGTGTTAGTACTGTGTCGCGCGGGTTTAGAGCGCGCGGTGGCCGTGTTAGCGGCGGGCGGGCGACGTCATCGCGGCGTCGGCGCGCGTGTGGCGTGCTCTGTTAGGCGTGTCGCGTGTGTGGCGATCGCGCGGGCGACTGCTGGGCGGGCGGCGCGTCGGCCGCGCGCGACGCACTGCCGCCGCCGCGACGCCCCCGCCGGCCCCCGCGCCGTAGGCCCCCTCGCAAGCACCCCCGCCTAGCGACTGATTAAAAATTCTTATAGAACTTTCCTGCCATACCAGCATCTTCGCTTCATTCTTCTTCGCGACACTTTCGTTGCCGCCTATGGAGTATGGATGAACTTCATTGATAGCTATTCACAAATTGTAATACTTTGACGTCTGTGCCTATATTAAAATGTTCGCACGAACGGTATATCATCATCAAATTTATATGATTAGCTTTAACTTGGTTACTGAATATCAGTTCAAAATGTGTTACGATTATTGGGGCCATTAATTACAAAAAATGAAAACGTTACAAATGTGTTATTTTTAATGCGATTCCTTACTTATATAAATTCCTACATTAATTAGTAGGTAGCTACCTCGAGTCGGTAGTAGCTTAATGTAACAGTGTTTTCCGACAAAACTACCTAAGTGTGAGACGTGTGTATAGTCCCCGATTGCCCCCACAACTTAAGTGGCGGTTGGATCACAGCGGACCTTTATGTGTAGTTGAGGTCAAAAAGTAAAATAAATTTTATTGTGGAAAAGACTACATTTGTAGCAATTGCGATAGATTTTTTTGCAAACTATATGCAAAGAAATATACTCTAAATGAAGCATGGTATATTCAAAGATGATGAATATCTTATGAGTGATAAAAATAACTTATTTATTCTCTTCCAGTTGAAATAGTTCAGGTTAAAAAGTAAATATATTGGAAATAAAGAAATGGCATCGTGTGTTCCGTCAATCAAGTCAATCAAGTTCGATATACCTATGAATAGAGCCCGCCTCCTGCGATTACAGAGCCCCTCTAATCGCCCCCTCCACGGAAAACCGTGACGACCCACAAATATAATTTAGGTAAAACTTTCTCCCTAATATTAATGCATACCGTTTTTCACTACATTAATATTATTCATGTTCTAGTAAATGCTTTTAACGCGTCCAAAACATTCCCTGTTCCGTATGATTGATGTTTTAAAATCTTCGGCGAAACTTTACTATTTGTAACACAGAAAACTTTGTCAAGGCTGATGTTATGCGCTAAATAAAATGGGGCGAGGAATAAAAGCCATCCAAATACCATTAGTGGAATACCATGGCGTAGTCATGGGGCTCATGGTATTACGAAACTGTATACGGATAGCTCGCAAAATCGCGACACACTTTTTAATTTATTTCGTCCACAGAAAGCGTTTTTGTGTTTTATTTTCATTTCAACGGCGACTTGCGCTATAGCGGGATCTCTATTTTTATTTATTCCTCTTCGTTTTTTTGTCCTCTTTTCAATTTAGTCCCGATCGACGAGCCCAAGCGGAACGGAGACGGATTCTCATTTTAAATTGAATCAGTCTCTTTGCATTTTTCTTTATTGTTCCTATGCAACAATTCTAATTGGTGATATTTGCATAGCTATTGTTTTCGTAAATTAAGGAACTTGTGGTAAAAGTATTTATGCGGTTTAATGCAGAAAAATATATGAATGAATGATAAAAAATAAGTAGGGCAGACATGTATGTAATAAAGTTAATTTGTATATAAAAAAATGATACGAAACATTTCTGTATGTCCATTGCGATGTCGCGAAAACAGTCATTGATATTGACTGGAGTCGATATCAGACTAATGAATATGTATACCGGCAGGTGCGTACACATGATTAAGTATGTGCCACCAACGATTTTTGTACCGAATTCTGATATCGATGTACGTGCTCGATTATTTCAATGATAAAAAAATATATACTTGTTTTGAATATGACGTCATTAATAGTTTATAAAACTATTATTATGAAGCTATTAAGTGAGGAATGTTACAATCGAATTGACCTCAAAATCTCGAATTACAATATAAGAACCAATAAATCAATAGGATCATTCCCCTGTCGTCGGCACAATCGGCTCTAACAATTAATTACTGAACTTGCTTAACGCATCTCAATGTTAACGTAACTTTTAGTTTGCCTTGCTATATAAATATTCTCACATAATAATGAATTTATTTTTCTATTTTTATTATATTAAAATACCGTTAAATAAGATAAAATGTTATTAAACCTAATATTATCCTTGGAATATATACTAGTAAGTAATAAAAAATATTTGATATTGTATCCGTAATTCTGGCTATCGGCTATATTTTAAGCTCCGGAATTCCCTTTCATCCTGTGACGTCAGGCGTAAGCCACAGATAAAAAATATTTTCATACAGATTAAAAAAATATATAGATTATGAATGACACGAGTTTAACAAAAAAAAACTATAGGTATATGTATAATTTATTCACTTTAATGATACTTTCGACGCTCGAAATTAATTCTCTTATCCTTTGACATGTTTACAAACGTTGAAAAGTAATTATAAATGAAATGATATCGGTCTTTAATATCGGGTAATTACAACGGTTAATTTTGTTACATATATTGATGTAACGATAAAGATATATTGCAATTACATTAATTGTATGTGGCATAATGTTTGTTTGGGTTGTTATAGCCGTCTGAATTTTTATTAGAATAAATAACAGACGGTAATGTTCATAATAAAATGTTTTTTTTTGAATATTCATTACTAAAAGTATATCGATACCAATAGCAATATAAACAGTAGTTAAAGTTTAAAATATTCAGATATAAAACATAAACTTTGGATAATCAATTTAATATAAATGTAAAACGGATCAAATCATTCTGAATTTATCACTCACGATAATTATGTCAAGTCTGTCCACGACGTTTATTGGTGCGATAAAACTCGCGAAATCTCTGATAAATTTGTGATTTCTGTTTTCTTATAAATTAATTTTGTGATTCTGATTTCTCCGTTCGAACCGGTTTGTACTTCCTTTTGAAATACATTTGATATCATTCCCACGGTGTGTTGAAAGTTACGTACACATCTGTTTTAGATGCTTAAGATATCGGAAAGAAAAAATAGACTTGGAAACTAATTAACACCTATATAATTATTGGTATATACTTACATATAATTTACCAAGTATATATATATTTTTTACCAATTTATAGATATAGTATACTAAAATAATTTTCATGTCTTGGTTAATGATTCCGCATTCATTTCAGAACAAGAATGATCTTAAATGTTTAGTAGTTGCATCAATGACTAACAAACACATATAAATGTATATTTCTTAATAGGAGTGCGTTGATTCGTCAGCACCTGAATGTGTCCAGGGTGTCATGTATTTAGTATATTTTTGATTTTTCGTAACAGAATTTAAATAGACCGTGATTTATGAACGGTCGAAGTGCTATTTCCGTCGGAGAAGTTGGAAGAGATTTATACGAATTTGTAACACGACACAGGACAGTATAAACGAAATTTTAATTGGTATATTAACTTATATATATATAATTTTATTTAAATTATATCATATGTATGATTTATTGGTTTTTAACATAGTATTAAAAATGTTGGCTTCCATCCAGATGGCTTAATTAATATGTTATTCTCAATATCCAAGGGCGATTATAAGTAGCCTTCCCGAAACTATAACATTTTAAATTCGGTTCAATATGTTAATTTTTAAATATATCTTGTGTGATTAAATAATATATAATACATATGTATTTGCTTAGTGTTGGAATGTTTGAACAAAATGAAAAAAAAAACTTTCCCGTGAGCACTGCCGGTATACCTATTTCCTTTCTGTTAGGTTTTGTTCGTTTGTACTTCCGGTCCCAAAATAAATAAAACGTTTTCGTCAGCCGCTTCCACTTCGTACTTATTTATTTTGTATATAAACCTTTATATATTTTAAGTGGTATGAATATAAGTACTGTTTTATTATGATTATGTAATTAAAATAAAAAGATGATTATAAAATAAATAAATATTACAATACATTGTCATTATTAAATAATATCTTATGTGAAATCCACTTTCAATACAATTTAATTTGATTTGATTACTCGTAAACAACTGGTGTATCAATATACCTAGGTATATATATTTGTCAAGTAGGTACTTGTATTTTTTTTGTCTCAAATGTAAAACAAACATAGGAAAGCGGAATGTGACACAGGATCGTTTAGAACAGAATAAATTTCAAAGTCATATAAAGCTTTCGACACCAACCGACATTCACAGAATTCGTCCCGCGTAAATCACGAAGTTTAGAAAAAAAAAATACGAATCGAGAAAAAATTGAGAACTCACGTGAAAGTTCAGAAATATCAGCCGTGAATATAATTAAGGGGACACCCGCTGATATCCGGTGAGGCTTTAGGTACTATTGTACACTGTAAATATATACGAACTAGAGTGACCGAACATGTGTATATAGCTTTATTATTTTGTATGAATGTTGAATATACGTAACTATTAGGGACATTATTATTCAATTTGATTTTAAGAAGAATAAAAAAAAATACAGCAAAAAAATATTCATTATGAATACCTACCCATATAAATTGTTCCTTTCTAAATGGGTATTAAATCATGAAAAACTTTATGAAAATATATGATTTAGAAATTTTATAGTTATTTATAATATAACTATAAAGAAACAAAATTTAGCCTGCTATTATATAAAAAATATCAACAAATTACAGATAAAAATAACCATTAAAACTACCTACATATAATTTAATAAATATTAACGTTTTTAAAACAATTTAATTCTATTAGACATTAGTAGGGGCAATAATATACAGTTATAAATAAAAGATACCACCAAAAATCCTAACCTTGTAAGGTTTTTGAATTGCAAATATAGTTTCAAAATACGCCTATCAAATATCAGAAGAGGATGAAAGTTGAATCTTCCAAGATTTATATTACAATGATATATAGGTAATATTAAAATATATCTTTAGTATTTATATGTTATTTGGTAACTGCCAAGGTTCTACTATATGAGTGATTCCAAACAATAGTTTACGATTGTATCACTAGTAATTAAAATGATAATTATAATAGTAGGAAGCGGTCAGATATACGAGTAGGCGCCCGACGTGATCATAAATTTTTTTACGCCAACACACTTCAGTTACGAAATCTTGTTTTATTTTATTATAAACTTTATTATACATAGTTCAATGACCGGGAATGCG